AAACTGTCACTTTAAAAAATTTGAGGAGATCTGTGCTTATGCATAGTAGAACTCTTCAGGGGTGGGAGTGGGGTGTCCATTCACTCAGGCATTCCCCTCTAGTCACCAGAACAGAGGTGTGCAGACAGCGAGAGCCCAATGAACAGATATCAAAAGATGAATGTCCACATCTGTATCTCTGCAGTTCTATCAGGCATCTCCCAAGATGGTGGCTCCAGGAGTAGCTGAGCATCTTAAATTAACAAGTAATGGATTTCTTGATTATGCTACAAATTCCCCTAGCTGTAAGCCTTCCAATCTTCTGAATATTTCTTTATATGTGGTTCAGAGTTCTGGCACTATCCCCTGAGCCTGCTTGGTCCAGTATTCTGTATTGTTGGTGACATAGCGCCTCACTGCACATCTATCTGATCTACCATCTTATCTGATCCTGAACAGAACAGTTTGGTTTGGTTTATATCTAATATTAGTTAGTCAAATGTTTGTCTTAGTATAAAGTATACTTATTTATGCTTAAAAACAAGAAAAAAATACTTCTTGATACCCGAATACATCTTTAGCAAATGTTTTGATGTGCTTCACCAAGTTGTTCCTGTTTGCTACTATGAACCATTAGATGTTTCTCAAGTAAGATTTATGGGTGTTGGTAAATCGGATATACATGCTTGCATACATTTTATGTAATACTATACTGGCTCTTCCCTGGTAAGCCCCTTACTGAGGAACTGTCTGTATAATATTGTAGGATTACATGAAACACATGTCATGCTATTGAGTCAATTACAACTCATATTGACCCTCCACAACAGAGTTGAAGTACCCATAGAGTTTCCAAAGCTGGGATCTTTACAGAAACCAATTGCCAGATTTTACTCCTGAGGAGCAATTGGTGAGTGCTAACCACTTACCTTTTGGTTAGTCAGCTAAGTACTTAACCACTGCACCACCCAAACTCCTCAAAGAAAGCCCAGACTTTACTTCATGTGCGTTACCACCCTTGGTTCTTAAAATAGTCTTTGAACTATTGTGTTATTGTCATTGACCTGAATTGCAAATATAGAAAGTAGTGGTTTTCCCCAGGTCACAGAGCCACAGACACAGAAGTGCTGAGACCCAACACTAAGCTTCCTGTCATTCCTTTGCACTCTACCGTCTCTCCACTCCTTCCTTTTACTATAGTCTTTCAAGTCTGCTCATATCTTTTGGAAAGTACAATTGCACAACAACACCACATAGTATCTTAGAGGAAAAGTATGTCAGTACTGCCTGTGAGGGCCAAAGAATGATTCCACAAAGAAAAATCACTGAAATGTTTCTAAATAGTTCAACAATGATATAGACCTCGGGGAAAGAATATAGAGTCTTCAGAAACAATTACCCAGAGACTGAGGAAGTTTAGAAGCTGCAGACATTTGTAATTTGTTGTTTTGTTAAGTACCATCAAATTGGTTCTGATTCATAGTGACCTTATGCCTAATTGAATGAAACATTGCCTGGTCCTGTGTCAATCTCACAATCATTGCTGTGTTTGAACCCCATTGCTGCTGCTACTGTGCCAATCCATCTCGCTGGGGATCACCCTCTTCTTTGCTGACCCTCCACTTTACCAAGTATGATGTCCTTCTCCAGGGACTGGTCCCTCCTGATATGTCTGCAATATGAGAGCAAAGTCTAGCCATCTTGGCTTTTAAGGGGCGCTCTAGCTATATTTCTTCCAACACAGATTTGTTTGTTCTTTTATCAGTCCGTGGTATTTTTAATATTCTTCTCCAACACCATAACCTAAGTACATCAATTCTTCTATGGTCTTCCTAATTCACTGTTCAACTTTCACATGCATATGAGGCTATTGAAAATACCATGGCAAAAAAAAACAAAACAAAAATGAAAGAAAGAAAAAGAAAATACCATGGCTTGGGTCAGACGTATCTTAGTCCTCAAACTGACATTTTTGCTCTTGAATACTTTAAAGAGGTCTTGTACAGCAGTTTCCTAAGGCAAAACATCTGGAATACTAGGTCTGATCCAGTGGATGCATGAGAATCTTTAGAAATCTCTTATTTCTGAACAAGATTCATTCTTCGATGATGAATCTTAGAACTACAAGGAACAAACTGGATGTGAAGAAGACAGGCAGAAACACTTGGTGGTTCTGGGAGAGCTACAAACTGAGAAGGACTAATTTAATTCAGTACCTCAAACATATAAAACAACCAAGTAAGCATTTAAGAGATAATGCTTAATTTATTGCTATTGAATTTCATGAAGCAGAAAAACATACTGTGAAGATATTAAGATCTATGTGGTCAGTACTGATCATACTGATTGAGGGCAACCTCTAAGTGGAGGTTATCCCACAGAGGGGAACAAACATTTTAAATAATTTTAAAAACCAATATTGAATCAAATATTAAAAATACAAACCAAACCAAGTCAGTTGCTGTTGAGTCACTTTGGACTCAAGGTGACCCGATTTGTGTCAGTGTAGAGCTTGCTCTATAGAGTTTTCAGTGGCTGACTTTTCAGAAGTAGATCACTTTCTTCTGAATCATCTCTGGGTAGACTCAGATTGCCAACTTTTAGCAGCTGATCACCTTAATTGTTTGTACCATGCTGGTACTCCCCAAACAAAATACGGTGGTGGTAGTGGTTGTGTGTCCCTGAGTTGGTTCTGACTCAGAGGGACTCTGTATAGGGTTTACGAGGCTATAAATCTTTATCGGAGCAGAAAGCTTCATCTTTCTCCCACATAGTGACTGGTAGATTCAAACTACTGATCTTGTGGTTAGCAGCCCAGCTCATAATACACTATGCTACTAGGGTTCCTTTAAACGAAATATGTTGTAGTTCTTTTTAAGTGCCATTGAGTCCGTTTCAACTCAAAACAACTCTGTATAGGGTTTCCACGGAGCAGCAGGTGGATCTGAACCACTGACCTTGTGGTCTGGTGCATTAGCCTACAATGCCAGTTCATGGGAATTTATTCCATGGCATTTGCCAAATCTCTATAATAGTTTGTGGGTCCTAATATTTTAAGGAAGAAAGAGGAAAAGCTGAGAAAGAAGAAAGATAAAGAAGTGAATTAAAGGATTTGGAAATAAAGAAATGATACAGAAGCTGGATTGTAAGTATGGAGAAACGATGACTGGGTAAGAAGTTTTAAGAGCAACCAACAAGGAGTTTAAGGTGTCTTTTGCTAGGTGTTACTGGGAGCAATAAAGAAATTCCAGAGTAAATTGTGAATTATTCTTGACTTGGCTCTGACCTAATGTATAATGTAATGAAGCATTGATTGGTCCTGTGTGGTCTTCATGGTCACTGGTAATTGAACAATGCTTTGTGATGGGTGATTCCTAAGGGTCTCTCTCACTGACTAATTTTCAGGAGTAGATCACCAGGCCATTTTTAATCCGTCTTAGTTTGGCAACTCCATTGAAACCTATTCACCATGGGTAACCCTGCTTGTAAATTAAATCTCAGGGGCATAGCTTTCAGTAAAAGACACACCACTATAGTATATTACACTGGCAGACTGTGGTGGTTCATAGAGGGTAGATAAGAAGAAAGAAGCTTGTGTAGGTGGAGGACATACACTAGATTTCAGGAAGAATTTCCTGAATGAGTATGTCAAGAACTCTGCTTTGCATGACCAAAGAAAGACTTCTGGGATACGCCTGCCCTAGCAAGATTTGCAGCCTTGTAGATGAACTGTGTGACCCTGAAGACGCTCAGCCTCAAGTTTCTGAAAGGTGTGCTGTTTTCACTACTGCTTTCACAGTGTTGTAGCCAACAGTTGACTCCCAGCTTAGAGGATGTGGAGTTTTACCCACAGAAGGAAACAACCATGCCTTTCACTCCGTTCTTCACTTGGGCCAGTTCTTAGGTGTACATCTGTGGTTTTTTAGCTCTTCAGCACTTAGGTACTTTCCTTGGGTGCCAAGATTCTCCTGGGAACAATGTAGCATCTGTGTGTTGACAGTAACAGCCTGTGGGCTAGAGACACTTGACCAAATACTCTCTCTGTCCCTCATGGGTTGATTGCACACCTCACCTGCAGTCATCTACGACTTAGTCAACCCCAGCCCACCACAGTTCCCCTCCTCCTACCCATTTCCCAACCTTTTACCTAAATTGATTCCCAGCTCCTTTACCACATTCATGCTTGTCCCATGGAGGATGGTCTCAACCCACCTCTCATCCCACCCACAGAGTGAACAATAACACATCAGTGGCACATGGCCTGACACTAAACAGTGAGTATTGAAGGGTGAGGTACAGACTGCTTAGTTGGGCAGCTGGGTATTTACAAAAGGTTTGGCCTGCAAAGAGATGCCAATCTTTTCCTATAACATTATTGCCTTTTATTTATTATGTGGGTTGTTGATTTACATGGGGAGTTGGGAATGATAAATAAGCTTCCAGTTTGTACATGGTCTGTTTCTGCTGAGTTCAGAGACTTGGAAACTTTATTTAAGCTTTGGCAAAAAGACTTATATCCCAAATGCTGTTTAGAACTATTCTTTTGTTCTTGGCCCTGTGTCCAAGAGGGGATGTGTGCTATGAGGTAAGGTAAAGTTTCAACTTTTCAGTTACCCAAAAGAACAGAAACTCTGTTGTATGTAAGTCATACAGTGTAAACATTCAGCATTAAATGACAAACTAGCACAATCTCTTTCTAGAAATGTGTCTCCTTTGAAGAGGTATCAAACTGTTTAGCTTAATGCCTTCATTCAGTGATATTAGAAGTGAAACTCCATTGTATGGATACATAAAAGAAAATTGTGTAGCTAGTGAGAGATAAAGGACATTTTTTAAAAAGGAGGAGGAAACGGAACAAATGAAATTTTAAGGACTGGAATGGAGCAGTGTGTGTGTATGTGTGGCATGTGTTTGGGAGGCCTGGTGATCCTATTGGTTACTGTCTCTGATGTTGGAGTTGCCCATTTTTTTATTCAGCATAAAGTAGGTATTTGGTAGCATGTTGTAGTGTCAGGGAGAAATCAGAGTTCCACCTTTTGTGACTTTTCTTCTGATCCATGTGTTTCTCTCTGAAAAACATCATAATACTGATAGTTAGATTTGGAGTCCACTCTTATTTTTCAACTGAGATTAGCAAACTAAACTGTTTGACTGTAACTCCTAAACCCATCTACAGTTTTACTTCATGAACTTTTTTGCATGGAATTTGATAGGTTTCCCATTAATATCTTAAATGGAGTGGTGAGGAAAACATTTCAGCTCCTTTTAATATGCAAGACCTTTCCAAAAATGATTTTCTAGTTCTATAGCCTTGACTGTATCCTAACAATCATCCTGACTCTGACCACTGTATCTTCATATACCTTTGCTTTTAACCAAATCCAGTAAAGCCTAGAGCCTAAAGAATTCCTAACCAATAGGAAATAAAAGAGAGAGAAAAAAAAAACCCCAACCAGTTGCCATCAAGTTGATTTTAGTCATGGCATCCATGTGTGTGCAGAGTAGACCTGTGTTCCATAGGGTTTTTAAGACTGCAGCCTTCTGGAAACAGACCACCAAGTCTGTCTTTGAGGTGTGTGGGTAAGCTCACATTGCCAACCTTTCAGTTGGCAACTAAAAACATGCCAGCTAGCCCAACCAATCCAAACCACAACTGTTACTGTTGAGTCAATTCCAACTCATGGAGGCCCTATAGGACAGACCAGATTCCTCAAATGTAATTGGTACTGGAGCAGACTGCTAAATCTTTCTCACTTGGAGCGACTAGTGGATTCTAACCATTGACTTTAGCAGAGTGCTTTAGCCACTGCACCACCAGGACTCCTTTGGTGCCATCCAGGAACTCCTAAATGGGATATTGAGAGAAAGAGAAACTAGCTTGCTTTATAGGGTAGTCTCACACTTACCAATCGTTTCCCCTCTAAGAATCCATCACAAAAGTTTTGTACTTCTTCTTCTGAAACCTCTGTTATGGGCAATACATCCCACTCCTCATCTATAGTCTGGAAAATTGCCAAGGCTGGCAGTTGAGATACTTTAAGTTTGAAAAATGATACCACTTTCTCATTTTCCTTCATACCACTGTTGACTAGAATAAAAAGAATCTGCAGTTGGAGAAGATTGAAAGAGAAACATCTATTTGAGATCCCAAGGATGAAAACACATCTGACAATCATTACAGTTAATACTGATTAAATTTATGGTCTATGCCACACAATTTAAATCTCAATTGAGTTGAAATGAATTTTATATTATTTTGCGTGGCTTTGTTGTTTATTCCCATTGATCAAGTTAATTTAATTTTGACAATTTAGAATTGGAAAACTTTACTGAGCTCTGGTAGCGTAGTGGTTACGAATCGGGCTGCGAACCTTAAGGCCAGCAGTTCGAAACTACCAGCCACTCCGCGGGAGAAAGATGAGGCTTTCTACTCCCGTAAAGATTTACA